GAAAAGAAAAGAAAAGAAAAGAAAAGAAAAGAAAAGAAAAGAAGAGAGAAAAGTTTCCCATTCCCCAGGTCACAGGCTGGAAACCACTCATCTCTAGAACCACTCATCTCTAGTATATTGTTCAATAACCCAGGTGTGACATCCCAGGTCTCCACTCACCTTCTTGGTGTCACCGCAAAGGATGCTAGCAGGGCATCTGTGCAGAGGGTCCTCAGAAGAGCCCATTGTACGAGCCAAAAGAGGTGGCCAACAGGACAGAGCAAGACCCTGGCCACAAGGCAGCCCTCTTGGATAATGGCTGTCCTTACAGAACCATGGGGAAGTAAGCAGGAAGGTGGCCCAGCTTTGCTCTAAGCTTCCAGCGGGCCCTTCAGGTGACACTGACTAGCAGCACAAATGCAGTCCAAGGACCTGCTCCATAACCAGCCTACCGTGACTGCAAAGTGGTGGAGAGCAGCTGTCTCAAGGATTCGCTCTGTGGTGACTGGTACATACCATAGTCCCGAATGTCATGGGGGAGGGGGGAGTCATTCAGAGAAAAAATAAAGCTCCTCAAGTGAGCTCCAGGTGGAATTAACAATAAAGTACAGCACAAAGTGGAGAATCTGGAAAATAATCACTGGATTTGGAGGGCTTTTCTCTATGTAACAAAATATAAACTACAACATAAAAGATGGATAAATGATGATGTAAACATTAAACAATTTTACATGGAAAAAATACTAGAATCAAAAGATAAAGCAAGAAAAAAATATAACAAGGAAATTAACTGCTACAGATCAACATGAAAAAACCCTAAAACTCCACAGGAAAGCAAAAGACTTGAACAGACATAAACACTAAGAAATAACACACTTTTCTACCTCCTTAGCATTTGCATACTGTATTTATATTTCCCTTTTAAGCCAATTCTCCATTCCCATTACCTACCAGTTATAATCACTCTCTTTGTTTTTATAGGTTTTATAAAAATATGCTGTTTAGTGCTTTTTGTCTTTCTGTAGTACTGGGGATTGAAACCAGGGCCTTTGCATTGAGCTACATCTCCTGCCCTTTTTAAAAATTTTAAATTTTGACACAGGGTCTCACTAAATTGCCTAGGTTGGGTTCAAACCTGCCATTTTCCTGCCTCAATCTCCCCCAGAGTCCTGGGATTATAGGCATGCACCACACCTGGCTCCTAGTTATCAAAACTTTTTTTTTCCAAGTCAAAACGTTTTTTCAATTTTTATTTTTTTTTTAATTTTTGGCGGGGGGCTCTTTTTTGAGACAGGCTCTCACTATGCAGTTCAGGCTGGCCTTGAGCTTACTTTGTAGCCCAGGCTGGTCTCAAACTCACAATGATCCTCCTGCCTCAGCCTCCCGAGTGCTGAGATTACAGGCGTGTGCCACCACACCCTGCTTCAATTTTTATTTTTTATTAGTTTATGTTTGCAATATATAATGATCATATCCCTTGTGAGAAGATAACGCATGTATATCAAAATTTTTAATGATAGAAAAATATTGAAAGCCTTTTCTGCATTGACTGAAGCCAAATGATATTTTCTATTAGTCTGTCACTGGGACAAACGATGTACACTCATAGCTGTTAAGGCCTGAAAAAAACTGAGCACTGTTATAGAACCCTCCTGGGTGAGGTAACCTGACAGTGCCAGTGCTAGACTCAGCAGGCTGTTTCTTTCTACAAGATCTTCACATCCTTCTCATCACACACTTGATTTCCTGTATGTTCTGGTCTGGGTTGGAATCAAAAGCTCAGGATCTTTTTCTGACTTCCAAACCAACTTGTACAGGACACGAAGTGTTCTTCAGAAGTTTGATAGAATTAAACCTTAAAACTACTTAGGCATTACGCTTCTTTTAGGAAGGAAGGTCTTAAGAGTTACTACTGCTTCTTTATTGGCTTAAGTTCTCCATTGCTTCTAACAATTTTGATATTTAAAATTTTTCTAGGGATCTATCCATTTCATAGAGCTTTGAAGTCATTATCACATACTTACAATACTTGTTTTATTTTTTATTATCTCTGTTCTAACCCTTCCCCTTAATACCACTGTGACCAAGGATGTGTCTGACAGACTGAGACATAGCTGTCCATGCTGGCCAGGTGGGGGCCACTGTTGCTGGAGCCAGCTGAGGGTTGGAGCATGGAAGTAAATCCATGTAGCTTTCACAAAATCTCCTCAAGGGCCTATCATGGCCCCCATCATCTTGCCCCTCTTCTCTCTCCTATAGACTCATATCACTGCCACTGGGTCTCTAGTGTTCTGTACACACTGTGACCAGCAAGGTTCTCAGGCCACCTTCATCCCAGGTTAGGAGGTTCTGATCTTCTCCAGTGGGGTCTTCAAGACCCCTGCCTCTGCAGTCCAGCCCCTCTGCTGGCTCCACCTCATAGCATCCTTGGGCCTTCCCCTCACCTCTGTGTTCAGTTCCTAGGAGCCCAGGGTGGTCTCAGGTCTCCCCTGACCAATGTCACCCAGCTGCCAAGCTGAGCTCTCTCTGAGCCCTCTCAGGCCAGCCAGGCCAGCTCTTGGTGTCTGCTGGCTGCCCACACCTGCTACCTTCCTCCCACTGGCTCCTATGTCACACAGGCATGCCACTGCTGGGCTAGATCAGGATGAGGACCTACCACATGCTCCTCAGGCACAGCTGCCCACCCAAGTCCTACTCCTGCACCCCCACCAAGCAAGTAGACTCTTAGAGCCCAGCCCCCTGCACCCCCTTCTAGCCTACCTGAGAGTGCAGAACAGCCAGAAGGGCATCAAGTTGAACTTCCAGGGTGCGGCTGCCCAGGTTCACAGCTGCCTCAAGGATCTGGCCCAGGCTCTGCTCAGAGCAGGGAGAGGAGGGCTTCAGTTTCCCAGGAAGAGGCCCGGAAGGGCAAAGACCCTACCTCTGGGGTCAAATGAGGAGCTCAAATGAAGGCTCCTGTACCTCCTAAATTCAGGGGAGGAGATAGGAAAGGGACTTCCTGGGTCAGAGATGGATGTAGCAGGAACGAGTGGCAGGTTTCCAGGCTCCTGTCCAGTGTGGGGTGGTCGGGAGATACCACGGTTTACAACCCAACACTGAATCCTATCACAGGGCTACTCCTGTGAGGCCGGATCTGAGGGCCTTCCCTGGAATGTACCCTCCCTGTCTTCAGACACCTTGGATATTTGGAAGGTTTCTGCATGCTTCTTGTAGAGGCTGAGAACTCCTGGAAGCAGCTTGGGGAGCTGTTCTTCTAGCTTCTCACTGGGCAGCAGGTGGCTCATGGGTCCCAGGGCAGCTACCACGGCAAGCCGGAGCTGCAGAGAAGTAGGCTTGGCTGTTCATCTGCTCACAGAGCTAATCACAAGAGGAAACACAGAACCCCTTGGGTCCTAACAGGACTGAGAAACAAGTCTGGTAGCTACAGAATGACCACAGCAAGCAGCTGGATGGTGACAGGAAGGAGGCAGTCAGTGTCCCAGATAGCAAAAAGGGAGGAGTCAGAAGGGGTTCCACAATGACTGGGCTCTAGGACCACATGCTCCCGAGAACACGTTGGCACCAGTCATAGGTATGGAGACCTGCAGGCGAAGCCCTCCACCGTGTCCTGACCACCCAGGACCACACCATCAGAGCAGGCAGAATAGCAAAAAAAAGAACCACAGGAGGGGCCCTTGGTTCCTCTGAGCTGTAGCCTAACCTTGGCATCTCGGGTCTGTAGCCACTGGTGGAAAAGAATGTCGTAGGCACTGAAGATGTCAGCAGCAAAGGTGTCCCTCCTGACTGTGGGGTCCGGGGCTTGGTCCAGGTTGGCCAGGTACTCTAGGGTGCTCTCGCTGAAGTGCTGCAGGGCTGTGATGGCCAGCAGTGAGTAGCTGTGGGCACAGGTCTTACCAGCTCTCCACTGCTGCCCACAGAAGTCCCCAAACAGCCTGCACAAGACACACCCCGTACCCTAGCTGAACAATGACCCAGGACTAGACTAAGCTGGGACCCCCCAAACTCATGTCCTTTTTGGAGCCCCAGAATGTGACTTCATGCACACGCAGAAATAGAGTGGCTGCAGATATAACTGAAGATGAGGTCATGGTAGGGCCTTAAACCTGACAGGACAGTGTCTGAAAAGAGAAGAAACACAGACACAGGGAAAAGAGGCTGCATGTGACAGAGATAGAGAAGAACATAAGCCAAAGGATCAACAGCCACCATCAAAAATGGGAAGAGACAAGGAACAAGACCCCCCAAGAAAGAACCAACCCGCCACCACTCTGATCTTGGACATAATTGCTTTAAGCCACTCAATTTGAGGGGACTTTCTTATGGCAGCCCTAGGAAATAACCGAAACCAACCTCTCAAGAATACCCAATCTGCCATGACAGGCCTCCCTTGATGGCACAATGCTGCCTGTGCCACTCAGCTGTGGCCTGGGGGCTGATGGTGTGGTCACTGCTGGGCACAGGCAAAGGCCTGGGTGGTGACCTCCTGCCCCAGTATGTTACCACCTGGGCTCTGAGTAGCTGTAGACATTCAAGTGAGAAGCCCAGAAGAAGGCTACGGGAGTATAGCCCAGGACACAGACCTGGCTGAGGTACAGATCTGCAAGTGGTCAGCAGGGGCAGGTCCTAGGTCAAAAGAGAAGACGACAGAGCCAGGCATGGTGGCACACAAAGCAACCACAGCTAACTGGACTCTGAGAGCTTGTTTGGAAGTTCTGGCAGGACAGTGAAGCTACTAGTATACCCTTGACCAAAGAATAGTCCTTCTCCATCAGGGCAAGTTGTCCTCTGTGAGCGTACAATTTTGGGACAGATGCACATGAAGCAGTGAGGGAGGAAGGGGACACCTGCCCAGCTGGTTGGATCCACTGACTCAACCTTGTCAATCAATGGGTGATATATGTTACAGCCAGATAACCCTCACATTTAATCCCAGTCACTCAGGAAGTTGAGACAAGATCACAAGTTCAAGGCCAGCCTGGGCAACTTAATACCTCCCCATCTCAAAATAAAGTAAGAAGGGCTGGGACTGAAGCTTATAGTAAAGTGTAGAATGCTTGTGGCCCTAGATTCAATCCCTAGTAAAACACACACACACACACACACACACACACACACGGGGGTCGGGGAGGAAGGGGGAAAAGGAGAGGGGAGAGGAGAGGAGAGAAGGAGAGGGGAGAAGAGGGGAGGAGAGGGGAGGGGAGGGGAGAAGAGAAAAAAGAAAAGATGCTTGCAATTCCAGCATGCTGAGAGGCTCGGGTGGGAGGATGACAAGTTTGAGCCCAGCCTGGGCAACTTAGTAAAACCCTTTCTGAAAACAAAAAATAAAGAGCAGAGCTCAGTGCAAAGCCTTTGGATTCAATCCACACCAAAAGGGGTGGGGGGGGATAAGCAGGTACCAAGGGGAGCCGGAGGAAGAAATCTCTGCATTTCCCATATTCTGGAATGAAGAGTAAACTTAAAAAGGACCACTCTGTTAGGCAAAAAGTGACCTCAACACACACAGCCACAGGATTGGGAATTGAACACAGAGCTTTCTCACTGAGCTAATCCCCAGCCCATTTTTAATTTTGAGACGGGATTCTTACTAAGTCACGAAGTTGCCCAGGCTGGGCCTGAAATGTTCGATCCTCCTGTCTTAGCCTCTCAGAGTGTTGGGATTATAGCTGTGTGTTCACCATACCTGGCTATCAGATTTTGATTTTTAATAGAAGTTTCACACACTTGTAAGTTAAAAAGTAGTTCTCATCCACCATCCCTGCTCCAATCTCCCTTTCTTGGAAAGCAGTCACTGGGTGGGTAACAGTTCACTCGTGGCCAGTATCTCCCTTCTGTACCCTTGCCCTCTTGGTCACTGTTGCTGGTCTGGCCCAGCAGTAGTCACACGCTCAGGATTAGCCACTCAAGACCACTAATTCTCTTCCTCACATAGCTGCTTTCCTTGGAGTCATGGATCTTCTCCTACAAGTGACTCCTGGTTCTCCCACAGCTTCCCTCTACTCTAGGGGTCTGCAGCTGCCTGCATCCCCCTTCCCAGCTCAATTCACCTCTTAATACAGCATGCCCTCCAGTAAACCTGGAGTGGATGGAGACATATCTGGGCCTTAATACTCTAAAAATGCTTAATTCTATCCTCACAGTCAGATGTTCTCTGGGCAGGTTGTGATCTGGGGTGCAGGCTCCCATAAGAGCTTTGGGGTACTGTGTAACCTGTGCCAAAGCCATACGATTCTCCATACTCACACCTGGGGCAGGCGTTCAGTGGTCATTCTGACTGCAGCATCTTCAGATGGTCCCAGCAAAATAGATCATTTCATGCCTCCTACTCCACCCACCTTTCTGGTGTCCATTTCCGGAATACTGGCTCCCTGGTCTTAGCTGCTAATCCTATTCTCTCTTTCTCTTTCTACAACTTTGCGTTTTGGCTGCATTTTCCAGGGATTCCCTCAACCTTCTCTTCCAGTCTTTCTGTGATGTTTTCCATTTCACTTATCATGTTTTCAACTTCCCAAATCTCAGCTCCATTTTCTGAAAGTCACTTCTTCATAGTGACATGCTCTTCCTTCACACATATATTCTCTCCTCTTATCTCCCTAGGGATGCTATTCATGGGTCCTCGCTCTTGGCCAGTTTCTCTTCCTTGAACTGTCTATTTTGCTGTCACCTTTCTTATCAGGCTTCCCTCAGACAGGGGGAAAATAGTCAGGCCGGCTATCTGGAGCCTCTCTCTCAGCTTCTCCCACACCTGGCCACAACCAACCCTGTTCTCTGCACAGCACCTCCACCCTCAGCTATGCCCATACGCCACACCCCATCAGGCCTCATGCAGGTCTTCATGGACCCTACTGGCCTGACTAAAGCTGCTCTGGCTGCAGGATCACAGTGTCCTCCATAGCAAACAGCGCATGCTCCACTTGTGTTAACAACACTCCTGGTAGGAGGGTGTCCTAAAAGAGTTCCTGCAGGTTGTGCTCACCTGCTACAGCAGGAAGTAGACACTAGTGCAGCAGAACTGTGGATGGCGTGGAGGTTCAGACTGCAGGTCAGTGTCAGCCCCAGCCCCAACTCCAAGGGTAGGAGGACCCGTGTTGGGCAATTCTTAGGACTGAAGCAAGAGGGCAACAGCCAGTGCCCTGCACATGCAACATGACTCTACCAGGCTCACTGACCCAAGCTCTGCACTCAAGGTGCTGGTCTATGCTCAGTCTCAAATCTATGTTCAGTCCAAACTAGGTCAGGTGGGATATTTACCACCGGAGGCCTTTCCTCAAAACACAAGCAGGAAAAGACTGCGAGAGGGAGACCCCAGAGTAAAGCCATAGGGGAAGGGGACAAGAAAAGATGGGAGCGCAGGGACTGTAAGAAGGGGCAGCCGAAGCTACAGCCCCTCTGAGGGCTCTACCACTGTGATGGGAGGCAGGACTCCAGACCCAAAGCCACCAGGACCAAAGTGGGCTGTGACCCAAAGTGCGAAGCTACCCCTTACCCCTGTCATCCTTCCACATCAAAACCAGGCCCCTATCACACTGTCACACACATCACCCTGTCACCAGGGGAAAAGTCAAGGAACTTTCTAATACGCCCCAGCCCAGGAGGGTAGGGATGAATGATGCGAAGACCTGTGGCTGTGAAAGCCTGCCCCCTGCCACCAGGTTCAGAACCAGCAGTCCTGTTATCCCAGGAACCCTAGCAACAGAAAAAGCCCAAGGCCTGCTGAGTTTTCCTCTGATCCTCTCACACAGAAAGGCCCTCCACCCAGTCTTTTCACTCACTACTAGACACGAGGTCACACTACATCATGCCCACGCTCCCCTGCCAGAGACAAAGGGGACAAACACAGGCCACAGAGGCACAGCTCTTTGAAGGTAGGAGGACAGTGAGTACTGCCTGCCAGCGAGTAGTCACTGCCAGCTGGGAGATGGAAGTACTGCTTTGAGGTTGTCTCTTCCCATCCCCAGGCCCCTGGGGATCTGCAGAGTTGGGGGCCCCCTGCAACAGACAGCAGCAACATAGGGGCTGGGGATTTAGCTCAGCGGCAAAAGCGCCTGCCTGGCAAGCGCAAGGTCGTGAGTTCGGTTCCCGGTACCGGAGAAAAACCAAAAAAAAAAAAAAAAAAAAAAAAAACAGACAGCAGCAACAAAAGGACAGAGGTCAAATCTGTGAAATGCGGGTCCTTCACCTTGGCAGTGGCTTTGCTGAAAAGAACCCTGACTCTGACTATCTGTCTGCCTTCTTGTACCTACCAGGCTATTTGCACCCACTAAAGCAGGTATTTCTTGTACCCACAGAGGCATCCATGAAAGAGAAAGTAAAAAAGGTAAACAGACACATCTAGCCATCTTACCATAGCAGAACATCACCCTCATTGCATCCTGCTTGGCCATACTCAGCATGGGCAGCATGGTGCTCAGGACAGATGGCAGGAAGGGGACCATGCCGAATGCTGCAAGAGACAGGCCATTACAGGGTCTGCAGGACTGGCCCAATCCCCTGCCCCCAGACAGGGAGGGCCCAGAATCTGAATGCACAGTTTAGAGTACATACTGGCCTGAGTAGGTGGCAGAATTGCTGAGGCCCAGGATCACAGGGGGCCCTCAGAGGTTCTAAGACCTGCTCAGAGACATAAAAGGACCCAGGACAAAATGGCACCTACCATTGGACACTGAGAGGCTGGAGAGAGTCTGCAGCACAGAGCAGTGTGGCAGGAGCCCAGGCTGGAACTTGCTGAGTACCTCCTCCATCACCTGATTGGTGAACCGCTTCCCCACAGCCACCAGGACGCTGCTCGCAGCCTGTTGCCAGTCACAGCCCAGCTCCTGAGCCCCAAAGAGTCATGAAGAAGACTGCCCAAATCCTCTCCGGAAGCACAAAGAATTTTGCCCTCAGCTGGCCAGGGACAAGCCACCCCATTTCAGGTTTCCCAGTGAGTGTAGGTGAGGGGGACCATGCCACAGTCTTCCTCTAGAGAGCCAGTTGCATCTATGGGAGAAGATAGCCAGTGTGGAGCACAGGGCGGCGAGTCGGGGCTGGACCTGGGCACCCCAAAAGCCAGGCTGAGGGACACCAGTTCAGGCACTTTGCGCTCTGCTTCAGTCTGCCTCTGAAAATTACAGGGTGACTGCCTGCCACCCCAGGAGAGTGTGCACAGCACCAAAGGGCCTCTGCTGCCCAAGCCAGTCATCTCATTCCTGTTCTCAGAAAGAGGCTAAAGAAAAAAAGCTCCCCCCAACCAGAGCCAAGCCTGCAAGCCAGAGACCCTACCTTTGTCCTGGTCATCTCACTGGAGGCCAAAAGGATGATGGCACTGGCCGTGTCTTTGTCCAGCTTGTGGATGTGACTGCTCAGGACTGTTTCCATGGCCCTCAGGACCATGGCGCGGTATGGATGTGCAAGCTGTGAAGTGAACAGGAAAGGTCCAAGAAAAGAAGTGAGCACCCAGACACGCCACATGCATTAGCACTCTCTACTGGGACTACGCCACACACATAATGTCCCACCTGAAACACAGGGAAGACACATACCATGCTCTGTGAGCCCTCAGAACTGATGTGAGCACTTTCTGTGCAATAAAAGCAACAAGCAGATGAGCCAGTGGCTCCTGTTCTCCTTGCATGGTCAGCATGGCCTCCTGGTGAAAAGCTCTGGGGACCTCTCTCATCTCCCACTGAGACCTCCCATCAAGAATGAAAAGTCCGGGGCTGGGGATTTAGCTCAGTGGCAAAGCGCCTGCCTGGCAAGAGCAAGGTTGTGAGTTCAGTTCCCGTTCCCGGAGAAAAACCAAAAAAAAAAAAAAAAGAATGAAAAGTCCTCCTTTCTTCATCTATCTCTGTAGCCAGAACTGTGCTTACCTCCATGATCCCTCCCTAGGATATAAACATGCCACCACCTACTGGGTACAGAGATACATGCTTATAATTCTAATACTCTGGCAGGCTGAGGCAGGAGAATTGCAAGTTCAAGCCCAGCATGGACAACTTAACGAGATCATCTCAAAATGACGTAGCTGGGGCTGGGGATATAGTTCAGCGGCACAAGCGCCTGCCTGGCAAACTTGAAGTCCTGACTTTGATTCCCGGTACCAAAAAAAACCCCAAAATGATGTGGCTGGCCACCCATGCTGGAAGGCCTGGGCTATCAGGGGTGCAGAGTGGAGTGACCCCAGTGAACATCTAGGCCCAGGCCCAGCTGCTGCCACTGACAGAGCCTGGCTACCTGGGAGAAGAGGTACTTTGCAGTGATACAACCCCTAAGAGCAGCCCATCCTGGACAGAGTAGCACCAGGAGGGTCAGATGCACGATAGCCTAGCACCAGCAGTGACCTCACCCACAGCCACACTTTGGTAGGTAGGTGTACCATCTGCAGGTACACACATGAGCCTACAAGGGACAAATAGTACAGCTCAGTGAAGAAAACCACACACTATGCCAAGGTCCCCTGAACTGGGCACCACCAGTGTCTACTGCACAAGTTGTACATAATCATCCTTTATCCCTGGGCCCACAGGTAGATGGCATTTTTGTTCCTAGAAGTAGCCAGTGTAGATCACAGACAACTATAGTGACACCAACAGTTCACAGGACACTGCTTTGGGTTTTGCTTTTTCAGCATGAGATTTTCCATCCCAATCACTGGTGCCTCAGTGATGAGAGTGCAGCCAGCCTGAATTGGTGGGCGTTGGTGGGTGAGAAGGGTCAGGCAGCAGATGCCATCTCAGCCAGGGGCCTTCACACACTTCCCCTTCCCTTCCCAGCTTCAGCAGGCAGCTTTGTATTTAAACCCTAGCTTAGAAGATGAATTATTGCCAGGTGTGGTGGTGCACACCCGTAATCCCAGTACACAGGAGGCTGAGGCAGGAGGATCTTTGGAAGTTCAAGACCAGCCTGGGCTACAAAGTGAGCTCCAGGCCAGCTTGAACTGTACAGTGAGACCCTGTCTCAAAAAAAAAATAAATAAATAAATAAATAAAGATGAACTGTTACTTCTAACCTGCCCAGGTGAGACAGCATTCCTGTAGAAGTCCTTCCCCAGGGGGAGCTGCCTCCAGGCTGTGGCTGAGAAGTGGCTCACAAGCATGAGGAAAGATGCCATAGCTGGCATACCCCATGGGAATTTGGGGGAAGAACAGAAAATTAATATGAATTGGTATGCTTCTATTTATCAGAACCACTGAAAGCTGGGAAGCAGTGCTGATAAAGCAGCCAGAACATCTACTCCCACTTAATCTGGATCAACTGCTTCGAGCTTCTTCCTGGCTCTTGGTCTTAGAAACACCTTTTAAGGAACATCAGGTAGACTTTCTTGACTGCTAATTCTCCTTACATGTATGAGGACTCTTTAGGGGGAATCTTTGCCCTTTTTTTCCAGAAAAACAAAAGGGAGGAAAGGAAACACTGGCCCTGAATTCCCAGGCCCACTTAGTAGTTGTGGGTGTGTCTGTTTAATATGGCGCAACAGGTTGGCAGCAGGGGCCAGGGAACCAGGATGGGTTCTATGGCCAGAGACCCTGGACCTGGATAAAGATGCTCTCTCCATAAAAAATGTTCCAGGAATCTACATTTTTAAAAACACATGCATAGCACTTCTGCTGTGGTGCTCTGTTTCAACTGTCTCATACTGACCCATCTGCACTTGTCTCAGCCCTGTCCACCCTGTCATCAGGGGGCTAAGCAGGGCCTCCTCCCAACTGAAGGTAGATGGGACCAGCCTTGGAAATGTGGAACATGATGTACAATTGAAGAAAATAAAAATGTCCTGTACTTTTACTCCCAGCTGCTATTTGGGGATGGGGAGTGAGACAGGGTCTCATTAGGTAGTCTAGGCTTCCAGGCTTGCCTTGAACTATGTAGCCCAGGCTGGCCTTGAACTCATGGCAATCCCCCTCCTTCAGCCTCCCAAGTGCTGGGTTTACTACCATACCTGGCTTGGGCACTCATTTTTAAAGGAAAGGTTTGGTTTCCATTTTACACACAGTTCTTCAAAGTGTCCTGGGCAGAGAAGCCAAGTAGGGGTAACAGTGAAAAGCTGTTTTCCATCAGGCTCCACCTGGTTCTACACAGAGTGACATGACCATAGCAGGGAGACACTACATTGGGGTAATGACTGCATCTGCCTTGATGGGCCGGAGGCACACAGCAAAGGGACAAGTTCAAGGCTGGCTCATCACAAGACAGGACCAGAGCCGTGCACATGAAGTTCCAACTCAATGGTTCTGATGTTGTCAGGGGGTCACAGAGCCATTTCACAGACCTGACTGAGTCTGCTAAGTGGGCTAAGATGTTGACAGGGCAATCTACATACTTGACCTTCACTGTGTAACTCAAAGGTCAAAGGGTGGTCATATCATCCCCTGCATCCAAGGCTATCAGTGCATCCCTAAGGCTACAACATGAAATGTGTAAAGGCTGGTCAATTCAGGAGATTCCAATTTAACTTTATGTACAATGTGATATTATAAAATACATACATTTGCTTTTTGCTTGATTTCCTGAAATCCTTGGAGTCACCAAAGTGTTTTTTGTAACCTAATGATGTGGTTGCTGGGATTGGCGGCACTATGCAGCTTTAGGATGGGGTTGCTCACTGGAAAGACCACGGCAGGATTAGAGGTTAGTGAATTTCAGCTTTACTCTTGACCTCCAGGGAGGGGAGCGGGAAATGGGACTAACAGACTGATCACCAACACTCAATGATGTGATCAATCATGTCCACAAAACCTCCATAAAACCCTCACAGGACAGGGTTCAAGGAGCTTCCAGATAGTCACCTCCAGAGGGTGGTGCAACCAAGGAGGCATGGGAGCTCTACATCATTTCCCACACCTCTTGCCCTCTGTATCTCTTCATCTGGTGCCCATGTGCATCCTTTGTCATATGCTTGATAATAAACCAGTAAATTTAAGTGTTTCCTGAGCTCCATAAGCCACTCTAGCAAATTAATTGAACCTGAAGAGGAGATTGTGGGAACTCTACTTTGTGGCTGATCAGTCAGAGGCACAAGCCATAGCCAGGGACTTACTTCTTCTGTCTAAATCAGCGATAGTCTTGGGGACTGAGCCCTCAACCTGCAGGATCTGATGCTAACTACAAGTAGATGGCATTGGAACAGAATTGAGTAGGAAAACGCCCAGCTGATGTCTACTGTGGGACTTATTGTTTATTTGGTGTATGGAGAAACAACCCCACACATTTGGTCACAGAAGTACATTGTGTTATACAAATACAGTAGAGGAAATTAAGTTTATTTCTATCTCCAAATCCAACTAGATAATCCAGGACCAAAGTCTCCACTCCAGCTGAATGAGAGTCAAGGGCTTATAATCTGATATTGGGTTCTAATGTCCCTTAAACGACCTTGGAACCAATTCCATTTCTAGCCAATAGTGAGTGCACATAGCTAACATTGAGTGGCCATCATCATCAGCTCTGCACACTGATGGTAACCCTGGCCTTGATAGCCTCTGTGTGGGACTTGAGTATCCTCATGGCTACTGGTAGCCCATGAGATCTCCTCACGTTGGGATGGCTTGAGAGAGACTGCAAACCAGAGAGGAATGTTTGAAGTTGAAGCTACTGGAAGCAGGGAGGAAAACAATTCAGTCACTATTTGAAAAGAGGACTTTACTGTTTTTTTGCCTCTCTTGCCCAGATCCCTCCTCCTCATGGCCAGACAGCCCTGAGGAGTCTGTTGTGGGCTGAACCATGGCTGACATGTATAAGACTGGCGACATCTAGTGCCCTCTGCACTGAGACACATGCTGTACAACACAGGCCTCCAGGCTCATTAAAACAAGACACCAGACAGGAGCTCACAGGGGGCTGGGGATTTAGCTCAGCGGCAAAGCGCCTGCCTCGCAAGCGTAAGGTCGTGAGTTCAGTTCCCGGTAACAAAAACAAAAACAGGAGCTCACAGTGTGAAATATATGTCCTCCAAAACACCTATCAGCATCTCACACAAAGAATGCTGTGTGACTTTCCCCTATTGTTCCCATTCTTTTGAAAAGAGAATCTATGAGATTTCAAATGTGCATGATAAGTAAAATGCTAACAGATGAAATGCAATGATACAGTGAACAGTAGAAGCTGGAAGCTGCCCAGATCTCTGGAAGCAGCTGGCAGGAGAATCCAGTGTAAGACAGTCAGGAAAACAGCCATACCCTCCTATAAGATCAGGATCAGAATCAAACATAAAATGATAATGGAGAATTTTTTTTGTCTTTTTCAGACAGGGTCTTGCTATGCAGTTCAGGCTGGCCTAGAGCTCACTTTGTAGCCCAGGTTGGCCTTGAACTCGCAATAATCCTCCTGCCTCAGCCTCCCAAGTGCTGGGATTACAGGTGTGTGCCACCACGCCCAGCTAAGGGAGAATGTTTTAAGTTGGTTAAAAGAGCATAAATGGGGACTAGGCATGGTGGTGCATGCCTGTAATCCGAGCTACTCAGGAGACCGAGGCAAGAGGATCACAAGTGCCAGGCCAGTCTGGTAAACTTAGCAAGACATTTCAAAATAAAAGCTAAAAAGGGCAAGCCAGGTATGGTGGAACATGCCTGTAATCCCAGTACTCGGGAGGGTGAAGCAGTAGGATCGCCACAAGTTCGAAGGCAATTTGGGCTACACAGGGAGTTCAAGGCCAGTCTGAACTGCATAATGAGAGCCTGTCTCAAAAAAACAAAAATAAAATAGCCTAGGATGTAGCTCAGTGGAAGAATAATTGCCTTGCATGTGTACAACCATGAGTTCAATTTCTAGCACCACAGAAAAGGAGACAAACTCAAAATAAAAAAGGGTAGAAAACAGGAGAAATCAGAAATAGCAGGGAATGAAAAGCATAAGGACACTTGGCCTGCTATGGACTGCACAGGTGGTCAGGTGCTACACCCTACCCTTAATGCTCTGCCACCTTTTCAGATGGCAAGGCCTCATCACCTCCTGTCCAACTATCAGACACTGATATTGGTATATCACATCACACATAATGGCACAAGGAGAAGACCCTGGTGCTAGCCCCAACCATGGGGTAGCTGCTCCTTACAGAAAGTAAGCACCATGCTCAGTTAAGGCCCAAAGAGGAGCTGCAGGAAGACACTTGCATCATGCTGAACAGGAGGGCAGCTTCTGGATTGATTTGCAAATACTTACAGCTTCAGTTAACCTCTTAACAAGCTTGCCTCTGCTACTGTGTAAGCATGAAGGGCCAAACATGCAGGAGAAAGGAGAAGCCCCCCACAAGGTGTCAGACACAGTTCCATCACCAGGTACCCCGAGGGATAGGGCTATTCTTCAAAGGATGGCAGCTGACATCCACTTTATATAGAGATCCCTCTTCATGTGTCAAAATAATATCAAATGAAACAAAATGATGATGGTCTTCTGAGACTACAAAACCACATAAGGAAAACCAAGAAAGGTACATCATAATTTCAGACAGCAGAGAGCCAACATGGCATTTGCTCAGAGAGGACCACTGTGCCAAGGTCCAGGACAAGGCAGAAAGCATGAGATGAGAGCTCCAGGCCAGCAGCTTGATATCCTTTAGCGCCAAAGTAAGAATCGTGAGCCTCCCAGGGCTCCATCAAGTTAGCATGGGGGTAAAGGGAATTGCCAGAGAAGGCCCTATTCCTCTCCCAGGGGCAGCTCCTCTGACCAGCCACAGACCACCTAGACAAGCACTCCAGGGAAAGACAGGGCCTGGGGACACTTTCAAGCCCTTGCACAAAGCCCCTGCACACTTGAGCTAGTAAAAGTCAGAAATATCTTCCCTTCCTCGAGCAGGAAGAGCACTTAGTCTTCACTGAGTGAGCAAAGGAGGACAGCAAATGTCCTCTACTCACAAGCACTGACTGTTGAGTATCAACCCAGTTCCTCACAATGGGACCATCAGTTCATGGTGGATGCAGTCATAGTCCATATGCAACAAGACAAAGTGGGTCCTAGTCCTGAAATACTGATGTCAAGAGAGTGCAGGTGGGCAGTTCTGCCAAGACACTAGCATGGCACCACCCTTTGCCTCTAACTGGCCATCACCTCCCAAACTAGTGGCATCACTGGCAGTACCTTGTCATGCTTCTTCAGGTACTCCTCACAGGCGCGGAGCATCTCTGCCGGCCGCAATTCCCCCAGGGAGCACAAAGCACTGCAAACCTGCTCCTGTACCACAGGGTCCTTGTCGGTGACCGCATCAAGAAGGGCAAAGGACAATCCTGCAGTGACAAAGCCTGGTCAATGTGTGTAGGCCCAGGGTTCCCTGCCGCACCACAGCACCTATCCCCATGCTGGCCCCTGGCCTGGTGTCCTGTTAAAACTCATGTTGAGGGGCTAGGGATTTAGCTCAGCAGCACAGCACCTGCCTGGCAAGCATGAGGTCATGAGTTTGATTCCCGGTATTGGAAAAAAAGCCAAAAAAAATAAAAAATAAAAAAAACCCCTCATGTTGAAGCTGGGCATGGTGGCACATGCCTGTATTCCCAGCACTCAGGAGGCTGAGGCAGGAGGATTGCCAAGAGTTCAAGGCCAGCCTGGACTACAGAGTGAGACCTTGTCTTAAAAAACAAAAAAAACAAAAAACAAAAACAAAACAAAACAAAAAATTCATGTTGAAACTTAATTCCCAAGGTGATGGTCTGAAGAGATGGGTCTCTGGGCATGACCATCATCAGAGTGCACAGCACTAGTGCCTTGAAGACTCAGGGACAAGAGGCAGCACCTTCTGGCCTCTTCACAGCCTGATGTCCCAAGGCCTAGCAGGCCCAGCCATCTTGCACAGTGTTGTATCTGCTGGTCAGTCACACCAACTTGCAACTGCTCTTACATATATGCCCCTGCCTCCCTTCTGGGCAGAGTGCCCAACTCCACAGCCAGCCTGTACTATAACTGGGCTCTGGAGCACTGAGTGGGCAGCTGCAGGGCTGTGGAGCTCAGACTGGCTGTCACCGAGAAGCTGCCAGCGTAGCACACATAGCTCAGCCCTGAGGGCAATGAGTCAGAGAGGACATGGCCCACCACCCACATGAACATGCCATTCTAGCCAGAGTATGAGGCTTGGGCTTCCACAAGGCCATCACCTCATACTCAGCTAGATCCATATACCCGCCATGCTCCACAAACAAGCTGCACAGACACAGCCTCATCCAGAAGGTTCCCTGAGGGTCTGGCCTCAGATAGGCTAGAATCCTTCTGGACCTAACTCTTGCTACACACAGTGCCTAGACAGGAGTGGGGACACTGGAAGCAACAATGAAGGAATAAAATCATGGCTCCCATCCCAAGCACTCTACCTAGTGATACCAGATGTGAATCAGGGAACCAACACATGAGTATGCAGTCATAATATAGTTCTCATGACTCTGCAGTCATAATACAGTTCTCACCAACCCCTATACTAAGCAAAAAGCAGGCCAGCTATCAAGAGACATGTACCAACCAAGCACCCTACCCACAAGACAGTATGGGTAGGGCAGGGCATAGCTTGCCTGGAGTCTCCACTTGGCATGTGGGAGCCTAGGTAGGGTTGGGACCCAGCAAGCACATGGTATTGAGAAGTGTGGTTTATAGGAAGGACTGTTAAATGATCATGCTTTCTCTAAGTGTTTCTTAAAAGAGAAACAAAAGTCCATTTGGACTGCTACACAAAATACCTTAACCTGGGTAATTTACCCATACCCATACCCCCTACACCCACCACCCATGAGGATGTCCCAAAAGGCTACTGCCACAGTAACAGAAGATACAGGCACCAGCTCACAACTCAGTTTCCCCTTGAGAGGACTTCCTTCCTGAGCAGGAAGCTGGACTTTTTTTTTTAAGCTGGACTTTTAAGAACCCTCCATTCCAAAGTTTAGGAGTTAAACAGGCTGATCCATTTGATAAGATCTGCATATATTGAAGGCCAAGTTCAACACAGTTAACTGAACCTAACCCTTCTAAAGTACATCTGCACATGTTCTACCAATTATGGCCTTCACAGACACCCCTGGGGTTGCCTCTGGCAAGGAGCCTCGTCTCTGTGGTTGGTCAGTGCAAGTATCATCCCTCATCTTGACCTTTGTGGCCCTGCTCTTCCCTGACCTTGCTGGCTCCCCAGACCCTGATTACCCAGACTCTTCTTCATAGCCCCGTCTCCACCTGTGAATCCCCCTGGACAGTTCGAGGCCTCTCAATGCTCTTCAAGCTCAGGATATAGTATTGGAAAGGCACTTACAGAATCCAAGGTGTAGCTCATCCCCTTCAGGTGAAGCTCCTGGGTGCAGGGACCCCAATATACACAAGCAGTCCTCAGTAAACTTCTGACCTTAGCTGGGGGTGCGGGGAAGCGGTGGCCAGCCAGACTGGACACTGGATCCATGCCAAGGCATGTGTACAAAGGGCTAAAGGCACAGAGGCACATGGATCCCTGCACTCGGACCTTGTGAAGCCAAGCTAGGAAAAATCCACCTCCTCTGCTTCTGAAATATGAACTGCTGCCATGGCTTGATATCCCATCAAAACTCATGTTAAGGGGCCAGGGATATAGCTCAGTGGTACAAGAGCCTGCCTGGCAAGCACAAGGTCCTGAGTTTGATTTTCGGTCCAAAAAAAAAAACCTCATGTTGAAACTTAACTCCCAAGAAGATGGTTTTAAAAGATGGGGCTCTGGGCAGTGACCCTATCGTCAGGATACATAACATTAGTGACTTACAGAAGGCCAAGGGAGCACCCTAGTCCTGTCTACCAGTTTTCCTGCAAGAGGCACCATCTGGAGAGCAGAGAGCAGCCCTCACGAGACAGCAAACCTCCTGGTACCTTGACCTTGACTGTCAGCCTGCAGAATTGTGAAAAACAAATTTTTATGATTTATAAATTACCCAGGTTAAGGTATTTTGTGTAGCAGTCCAAATGGACTTTTGTTTCTCTTTTAAGAAACACTTAGAGAAAGCATGATCATTTAACAGTCCTTCCTATAAACCACACTTCTCAATACCATGTGCTTGCTGGGTCCCAACCCTACCTAGGCTCCCACATGCCAAGTGGAGACTCCAGGCAAGCTATGCCCTGCCCTAGAGGGCAGAAGGCATGTGGTCTTTCATACTCACTCTTCATGTAGGACTCGGTCATTGCTCTGGTCTCAGCTTCTGTTCACCCGATATAAATGTGGAGAGCTTCTCCAACCTGGAATAACAAAAACACAGAATTTCATCAATAAGACTCCACAATACTTAAACTCATAGGCAGTTACTATTTTGGTGCAAAACACACAATTTTAAGGAATTTTTCATGGGGAATATCTTTGCCACAGGTGGTTGAACCATTCAGGGAGGAAGAAAGGCTGCTGATCTTCAGCAGCTTCCAGCTCCCTCCATCCCTGAGGCTGAAATGAGGCCCAACCTATGGTATGTACAGAGCTGATACACAGCTGTAGGTGGCAACCCTGAGTTCTAGCAAGTGTGGCCACTCCTCCATCTAAACCACTTTCCTCTTTGCTGTGAGAAGAGCAGATAGCATCACAGCTCTCAAACAATACCCACCACAAAGCACTACTTGCACAGATGGTCTCAGAGGACAAAATCCCTCCAATACAAAAACCCTCTGCCTCTTTACCATGGAGTATCCCATTCAAGTTCTATTCAAATTCTCCAAAGACCTGGAAGATGAAAGAGACCACAGGCCTACAACTGACATGGCAACTAGCTTTGCCCTAACAACCATGTCCTGTATTCCCTGATGATTCCACTGGTATCTTCGCCCTCAATCACCTCTCATCCTTCACTCCTTCCCAACACATTCCAAGGAAGAATGAAGAAGAGATGCTATGATCTACCCCTGATCAGGCAGAACATCTCACAGAGCAGTTCACACATGGGAAGGAAGCAAAGGGAGAAATTACATTAATTTTGGAAGGGAAATAGTTTAAAAACAAGTGAGAATTCTAGTTCAAGAAGGTAGGCTGGAGCTGGGCATGGTGGCATAAGCCTGTAATCTCAACTGTTGGGAGGCTGAAGAAGGAAAATTGCAAATCTGAAGCCATCCCAGGCTACAAAGCCAGTTCAAAGTCAGCCTAGTCTACACAGTAAGACCATCTCAAAAAGAAAAGAGACCATCTCAAAAAAAGAAAAGAAAAGAAAAAAGCTAGGTATGATTTTTTTTTTTTTTGCACTGGAAATTGAACTTAGGACCTTGTGCTTGCCAGGCACTTCCTGTGCCACTGAGCTATATCCCCAGCCCGGTATGATGGTACATACCTATAATTCCAGCACTCTGGGAAACTGAGGCAAGAGGACTGCAAGTTTGAATCTAGTCTGGGCAATTAGAAATTTAGTAAGACCATATCTAAAAATTAAAAATAAAACAGTAGGGCTGGACATGGTGGTGCATGCCTGTAATCCTAGCACTCAGGAGGCAAGAGGATCAGTGTGAGTTTGAGCCCAGCCTGGGCAACATAAGAAGTTCAAGGCCAGCCTACATTATATAGTGAGACCATCTCCTAAATGAATGAATGAATGAATGAATGAATGTGGGAAGATATTATAGCTCAGTATGAAAACCCTGGGTTTAATGCTCTGTACCATGGGTGTGGGGGTGGGGAACACAGTAGAAGGCAGGCTGAAACCAGGCGTGGTGGCACACACTTGTAATCCAAGCTATTCAGGAGGCCGAGGTAGGAAGATTGCAAATTCAGAGCCATCCTGAGCTACTTAGCAAGAGTAAGTCTCAAAATAAAATTTAAGCCAGGCATGGTGATGCATGCCTGTCATCCCAGCACTCAAGAGGTTAAGCCAGGAGAATCCTGTGAGCTCAGAGCCAGCCTGGGCTACACGGTAAATTTAAGCTCAGCCTGAACTACATAGTAAGACCTTGTCTTCAAAAAAAAAAAAAAAAAAAGCCAAAATAACAACACTAACAATAGTAATTTTTTTTTTTTTTTAATTTCAATAGATCTGGGGATATAGTGCCTGGGACTTTGCCTAGCATATGTGCAGCCCTGGGTTCTATTTCTAGCATGGAAGTGGGGGGCTTGCTAATGCCAAGCATTTGCCTACCCCACAAAAACCTCAATGAAATGACAAAAAGATTCATATTTTAGAAGAACAGCCCCCGCCCCAAAAATAATATTCTTGGTATAGTGGTCCATATCTGTAATCTCAGCGTTTTAAGAGGATGAGGCATGGAGACTGCAAGCTTGAGCCTAGGCTGGCCAACTTAGTGAGACCTTGTCTCAAAAAAAAAAAAAAAAAGAGCCAGGCATGGTGGTGCATACTTGTAATCCCAGCACTTGGGAGGCTGAAGGAGGCAGGAGGATCATTGCAAGTTCAAGGCCAGCCTGGGCTACAAAGTGAGTTCAAGGCCAGCCTAAACTTCACAGAGAGACCCTGTCTCAAAAAGACCAAAAAATAAAAAATAAAAATAAAAAAATAAAAAGAGCTACGGAGGTGTGAGAAAGTCCAGGATTCAATTTCTAGTACAGGGCTGCAGAGGGGGTGGATCCCATAAGAGCACAGAAAACAAGAAAAAATAAAGCTAACAGACCAGAAGCCCCCAGGGATCCAGGAAGATGGAGGCAGACGGACAGCTCTGGTTTCACAACGGTGGCATCAGCACAGCACTGCCCCTTTCTTCCTGGATGGCATCTAAAAGGAACAAGTAAAACAGGAAATAAACACACACATTCCATTTGTGGCACAGCAAGGAGAAGGCAGACAAGTCTAGGCCATAAAAGGACTCAACACACCAGTGATTTTCAGGCAGGGTATGAGATGCACAGTGGAAGATTCTAGAGCCTACAAGTATGTTCTTAAAGGCAAAAGCAGGGCTGAAGTGGAACTCAAACCCCAAGTACTCAGACCTGGGCTGAGCCAATGAGGTAGAAAAGCAAGGACAGAGGCTTTTCTTGTGAAAAACCATTGCTGTCAACCTCCAAAGTACAGGAGAACCAAAGGTAAACTCAGCGCAGATCCCAGGACCGAGGACCCACACTTGAGCCTTTGTGGCTCTTGCCCAACTTGGATAGGAACACATAGAATGGAATAAGCACCAGGCATTGTCTGCCCCAATCCAGACTGGAGTGTGGGACTAATTGCCCTCCTAGCCAGAACAACTGCAGAACTAAACAAAACACAAGAAACTGCAGTTCTGGGGACAATGAACCTCAGAAAACAAAGGCCAGTGAGCTCTGAGAGGCAGGAAACAAGCCCTTCCACTGTTCCCAGACACTGCTGAAAAGAGTGTCCATATTTCAAAATGGTTCAAGATAGGCTGGCAAGGCACCCAAACTGAAGAGGCAGACAGGAGTGTCAATGGATTCCAAGGCGGCAAGAGCTTATATTTCTGTACCAGAGTGTTACCCAGGGCTATGGTTTAGTAAGTGACTACAAAAGTTCAAGTTATAAATACTCGGACCCCAGGGTGGGGCCATCAAAAGGGGATAAAACATTTAGGAGGTGTGGCTTTATGAGAGGTCCTCATGTCCTTAGGGGCACAGCCTCAAAGGGGACTGTGAAACTCCAGCCCCTTTCCCTTCCTATTTTGCTTCCTAGCCATGAAGTGAGTGGTTTTCCTCTACCACATGTTCCCCATTTGTATCCCCAGCATGCCAACCAGACAGACCCAGGCCTAAGAGCAATGGGTCTGTCTAATCATGGACTAAAAATTCTAAAACCATGAGCCAAAATAAACATTTTCTTTTTATAAACTAGTTATCTCAGGTATTTTGTTATAGTGATACAAAGCTAATACATTCAATTCTGGAGACATGTAGAGTTGGTATTTTTTTTCAGGGGAATTGTTTCTGGGTTGTTTTGTTTTTCTTTTTTGAAGTAATGAGGACTGAATATAGGGCCTCATGCTTGCTTGGTAAATGCTCTGCCACTAAGCTACACCTCCAGACCTCTCAAAAATTTTTTTTGAGATAGTGTCTCATTAAATTGCCTAGGCTGGCTTCAGACTGGTGAGCCTTCTACTTCAGTCTCCCTAGTAAGTGAGATCACATCCATGCATCACCATGCCCAAACTTCAAGAAGTTATTTGTTTTTTTGAGACAGGGTCTATGTAATTCAGGCTGGCCTTGAACTTACATCAAGCCTCCTGCCTCAGACTCCTCAGTGCTGGGATTACAGGTGTGCACCACCATGCCCAGCTTCAATGAGTTTTAATTAGCACTGGAGTGGCAGAATAATGGCCCGAAAGATACCCATGCCTTGTACCCAAAACTGGTATACATACGTTGTTTCTCACATGGCAAAAAGGATTAAAGGTCAGACCTGGAGATAAGAAATTTATCCTGGAGTAAGAGGATGAGATTAACCTAATTCATGAGACCTTAAAAACAGAAAAGTTTTCCCAGCTGGGTCAAAGAAAAGATACAGAAGAGGAAGAAGAAGAAATGTGAAGCATGAGAAAGATTCAACCCATCACTGCAGGTTTTGAAGATGGAATAATGAGGTTCTGAGACAATGAGTAGGGTAGCTACAGCAGCTAGAATGGTCATCAGCTCATATAGATGGAAAAAAAAATAGGGACATCATTTCTACAGATCCAAAGAACCAAGTTCTGCCAACAATCTGAAACAGGAAACAGATCCTCCCCAGGCCAGCAGAAAGGAATGCAGCCCTACCAAGATTTGCATTTTAACCTAGTAAGATCCATGTCAGACCTCTGACTTTAAGAACTTTAAAAGAAACTGGGAGGAAGAGGACCAAGATGGCAGAGTGGTAAGCAGTAGAGAAAGAACCTCTGAGAGTTGCCATCCAGACACTGGAATATAGCAATTTGAGAAAGATGAGAAGGAGGGAAGGGAGTCCCCATGGGCACAGGAAAGATCTGAGGCATGAATTGAAGCTCACGGACAGAGTGAAGATAGAAACTTCAACAATGAAGAAGCAAGCAAGCAGCTGGCAGCCCCTTCTCCCTGAAACGGGACTCACTGCACAAAAGGAGTGATTCAGACCTGCAGGCACACAGTGAGTGCTGGTGACCTCAGAGACCTGCACAGACTGACTGATGCAGCAGTGGAGGGGAGCAGCAGACCTGAAAGACTGCACTAGCAGGCAGTGAGTGTGGAGGGCGCAGTCATCTCACATGAGAGAGCGGTCTCACGTGACAGAGTGATTGGCGAGGAGCCACTTTGGAAATGGATTGGTTAAGCTCAGAACTCAGAGCAGCTACCGGTTTCATCTAGCAGCACCCAGCTAGGCTCAGGCCCAGGTTGTAGGCCGAATGAGTCTGCTGTTGGCCAGAAGGTGCATGCTTGCCGAGATTATCCACTACCCTGCCAAAAAACTATTGATGCCTTGCTGTGGGAAATAATGAACACAGATCAGGACTGTCTCCACACGCTGTCTACCAGTGAGAACAGACACAAATCTGGATGTGGACTTTTTCTTTTATTTTCCCTCTCGTTGGTTTTTTGTTGTGGTGGTGGTATCATTTTTGGTTTTTCTTTTATTTTTCTTCTCCTGCATAGTTTGATCTTGTTTTTTTATGAGTGTGAGTATGGTTTCTAGACTCTTTGTGGTTGTGGTTCTATTATTCTTCTTTTTATCTCTTCCTTCTCTTTCCCTCCAGTCTTCTGCACCAGATTCCCTAAAGGTAGCATGATCCCCCTTTGTCCTCCAGCCTTATTTCTAATCTCTTCTTCCTCTACTTCTCTATTTTCTCCCTAACCCATCTTAAATTTTAACCCCTGAGGGCAAAACTGACATATTAAAGACTTGTATACTGCATGCATTTTTCTGCTTTGTTTTAGATTTTGTTATATAGCCACAAATCTAGTTCATATGGGTCAAAGGTGGCAAATTAATAGTTAGCTCAGTTTGTCATTTTGTAGGCTGTGTTTGATGCTCCTGTCATTAGTACCACTATAGCCAAAAGTGACATAATTGTTCTAAACAGCTGTTCTCCCTGGTATTCCAAGCTGAGATTGACTAAGGGTCACAGAAAATACTGTGGCACAGTGTCAAAGAACCAGGGGCAAGGCCAAACAGGTAGCAACTTCTCATCCCCAACAAATTGAAGTGGTAGGATCTTGCAACAGACTCAAAACCCAAACTTCAGCTACACTTGGATGATAACTCAGAGAAGTAATCATTTCCTAAGGGTTCTAAATACTAGCAACAAAGCAACTCACCATAGGCAATTTACAAAAATCACCCAAGGCGTTAAACTAAAAAACAAAACAAAACAAAAATAACAAGACACTTAATCAAGATACAATCCCAGATATCCAATTCACCAAAGGCACACCTGGGGGCAATGAGGTGGGACAATCTGAAAGCCATCCACCTGGCCTCTCTGAAGTGTTAACAACAAAGCAACTGAATGAGGCTCAAGAAAAAAAATCAGATCAGAAATAATTTGTCAGATAACTGCAGAGACGGTATCCATAATGAAAACCACGCTTAGTGACTCTAGAGCAGATACAAATACAGGAGCTTAAGAAAATTATGGAAGCCACGAATGCTCAGCATATGAAAGAAATGGAATCCATAAGGCAAATTCAAGCAGCTATCCAGGAGAATAAAAATTCCATTGAAAATAGTCCCAGCAGATTAAGCCAACGTGAGGACAAGATCTCAGGTATAGAAGACAGGCTTGGGGTTAGCAATCATGAAAAGAAAGTTTCTTAGAATAGCAAGGGACCATGAGAAATCAATACAGCATCTGCTACATGAGGCAAATAAGAGTAACTTAAGATTGTCTGGAGTCACTGATTTTTTTGTCTAGTTGATCTGTCTTTTTGTGACAGTGGGGTATTGAGATCCCCCAATACAAATGTATTAGTGCTTATCTGATTTTTCATGCCTGTTAACATTTGCTTTAGCCTGGTGTGGTGGTGCACACTTATAATCCCAGGACTCAGGAGACTCAGGTGGGAAGATTGCCATAAGTCTGAGGCCAGCCTGGGCTACATAGTAAGTTTGAGGTCAGCCTAAACTGCATTGTGAGACCCTGTCTCTCAAAAAAACAAACAAAACCAATATATACATATTTGTTTTATATAGTTGAGTGCACTGGTACTTGCTGCATATAAGTTTTATCTTTTCCTCTTGGATTGTTTCCTTTACAAAGATGTAGTGACCTTCTTTATCTCTCTTATTCAGGTTTGGCTTAAAATTCACTTTGTCTGCAATGGAATAGCTACCCCTGCTCTTTTCTGGGTTCCTGTCATGTGGAGTATTGTTTTCCATCCTTTGACTTTCAATCTGTGAATTTACTTTTTAATTAAATGTGTTTCTTGTATGCAGCATATTGTTGGATCTTTCTTCTTGATCCATTCTGCCAGTCTGTGTCTTTTGACTGATGAACTGACACCATTAACATTGATGGTTAAAACTTATATGTATTGACTTGTCCTTGTCGTGTTATTTTCCTGTTATTGGCTCCCCTTCTTTTTTTTTTCTCTCACTCTGTGTAATGGTTTGTTTTGCCTGATGGACTCCTTCTGTTGGGGCTCATGGAATTGTAGTCATTTCTAGAATGTCCTTCAAAACATTTTGGAGTACTGGTTTGGTGGTCATAAATTTCCTCAGATATTCTTTGTCATGGAAGTATCTTATTTCTCCATCAATTTTTTTTTTCTCCATCAATTTTGAAAGATAGTTTTGTGGGGTACGTCAATCCGGGTTGAAGGCTG